GGGGGGGTTGCAGCCAAACAATTTTTTGCTTGGGGGCGGCAAAAAACCCAGAGCTTGCCCTGGACGCAGGGAAAGGGGGAGGGGCACGCAGGGGCGCCGTCATGGGGAGGGCTGGTCTCCGCCCAGTTCCCGGGCCTATTTCCAGTGCCAGTCTGCCCCTCAAAGGGCTCCTTGTGGTTTCTGCGGAAACAGACTAACCCGGCTCCCTCTCTGAATGCTTCCGCGCCGAGTTCCCACGGTCCCGTGCTCTGGATGGAGAAGTCCACGTCCGCCTCTACGGGGCGTGGGCTGTGATACTGAAGCAGAACCAACCCCGCGCTGAGTTGCAGCAGGTTGTGTGTGTGCTTTGCCTTACTGATCGGACTCATCGTCGTACTAATCCACCTTTGACAATTGCAAAAGGCCTGCTCTGGGAGAAGAACTTAACAACTAAGAAGAGCGAGAAAACTCAATCCATACGCTTGCTGGAGCTGTAGGCCAGTGATTCTCAACCTTTTTTTAATAAAGTACCCCTTTCAAAAAAATTATAAGTACCCCCTTTTTCAAAAAAAAAAATGGTAAGTACCCCCAGTACCTTCAGTTTTCAGACACTTTTTTTCTACTATTGCAACACATGTGTTTAAACAATTAATTGTACCCAGGCGGGCGATGAAATTTTTGGGTGTAAAAAGTAAAAAAATAAGAAAATGCTGTCAAACTTAAAACAAAAATTTTGTTTTCTCCGAGTTTCAGTTGTGTGGATGTATTCAACAGACTTTTTTCGAGTACCCCTATGGGTACTTGTACCACCGGTTGAGAACCATTGCCCTAGGCCTAAAAACGGAACAACGACAGACACGATTTCCTGAAAGCTGAGTAGGGGGTGTCATGAGATGAAAAGGGTCCGGATGCTGAACCTGACATATCTCCCACCAGTTCAGTAAATACCCCGGGAAAATCCATAGCTGATTTAGAAACCAGCACCAGAGAGAACAGGAGAAAAAAAAGCCGAAAGCTCCCTGGTGATCTATTCATCTGTTCAGTTGTGTATTAATAACATAAGAACAGCCAGGCTGGGTCAGACCAAAGGTCCATCTAGGCCAGTGTCCTGTCTGCCCACAATTGCCAATACCAGATGCCCCCGAGGGAAGGAACATAACAGGTAATCATCATGTGATCCCTCTTCTGTCATCCATCTCCAGACAAACAGAGGCTAGGGGCACCATCTCTACCCATCCTGGCCATTAGCCATTGATGTACCTAACCTCCATGAATCTATCTTAGGTCTTTTTTGAACCCTATTAAAATCCTAGCCTTCACCACACTGCCTTCTCAATCTATGGAAGCTTGATCCTCTTGGTCTGGGAGGCAAGCATAGCTAGAAAATTCTGAGAGAGCTCCCTGGGGCTGTGAATTCTACCTTGTCTCCGCCACGTGTTTCTTCTTTGCAGTCCTTTTTGTTTCCTTGTTTCAGGAGAATCGCAGCCAGAGTCCTGGCATGAACCAGTGGCTTTTCCAGGCGTGAGGGCTCCTCTCCTGTCCATCTGCCAAGGCTGGCTTCCTGGAAGAGCCCGCAGGGACCCCTTGTTGAGATTTTCATGTGAAACTGAAAGTGAAACTTCCTCCTCCTCCCTCCATTCTTGTTGGTTGCTCATGGCCGTTCTCTGACTCTAGGGGGACCCCTTGTGGGGAAGTGGGGATTTTATGTTGCATGTGACAGCCACTGTACTATAGTACCCCCATGTGCGCGCCTCAGTTTACCTGCACATTGCACCAATACCTATATGGAGATGGGGATTTCGGGTGTGACAGGCTCCCCCACATGCACAATAGGCTGATGCTGGAGTGGGAGGGTGACCAGGTGGTCATGGAGAGGTCATCGAGTCCAGTCCCCTGCCTTCATGGCAGGACCAAGCACCCTCTAGACCATCCCTGGCAGAGGTCTGTTCAACCTGCTCTTCAATATCTCCTGGGATGGGTCTGTCTGAGAGAAACAGGCTGGGTCCCAAGCCTCCACTGCCGTCACGCTCAGTGTAATATCAGGTCCCATTTCCCAGCTGGGTTTCTGCGGAGCTCCAGTGTGGTCTAGCAGTTAGGATATTTGCT